TCTTCCTCTCCCTCCTGGTGGGTGTGTGCTAAGCCACGTGGGCTGGGCCTGGGCTGGGAGCTGATGAAAGAGGAGGGTTCTCTGTTCCCCAGCGGAGATGACCCCAGGGAGGTGCCCGCTGAGGTGTGGAGTGGGCAGGGAGGGAGGGAGGCCCTCAGCCGCCCTGCTCCCAGCGCCTGCCCTACCCTCAGGAGGGCCCGGGCCTTTGGCTCTCATCCCCCACCGCCCCAACCTGCAACCTCAGGCAACTCCCGGGCTGGTCCCTCACTCTGGCCTCTCCAGGGAAGGAGTAAATAGTGGGGGGAGGTGCCAGACCACCCAAGAAGCCACCCCCCCCCAGGAATTCTGGGAAGAGCTCAGGAGTCCCCGTGACCTGGGAGTGGCCCGTGCTTGGCCTGCTGGCTGGGGGTGTGCCTCATGTGCCTCCGGCCTGGAGGAAAGGGGACCCTGCCCGTCTCCTTGCCCAAGAGCGTGTGCTAGGCCGTCGCTGCACTCGGGGCCCGGCTGGCAGGGCAGGCTCCAGAGCCAGGCTGGGCCCTTTGACATTTGGCTGGTTGTGCCACCCAGTCGACCAGACTGTGCCTGGAACAGGACAGGAGCCCACCCCAGCCTGCATCTTCGAGCCGTCAATGGAGCCCTTTGAGTGTGAGCACAAAACCCCAGTGAGTCAGGGCTTGGGGGAGGGGAGGGGTAAAGAAGCCAACCTTGTGGCCACACCACTTGGATGCCAGTCCCTCCCGGAGGCCGGCCGGACAGGCAGCCACTGTGCAGAGGTACACGCATTACACACTGGTTTTCGGAGTGGCGCCGACAGCGCCCTCTGGTGGCCGTCTTGGCCTCCTTGCCGTCTCCGGCTGTTCGGCGTGCATCCTCCACTCGGCTGAAGGCGGCAGCCAGACCGGCTTCCTGGGGGCTGGTAACAGTCAGCTCTTGTTCCTGAAGCCTGCTCCTCAGGGTCGCAGCTGTTAAAGGGTTTCTCGCACCAGCTGCCCTTGTCCCTGGGACGTGGCACCTGGACAGCTCTGCCCACACACACACACACACACACTTGCAGCTGGACTGGCCATTTGTAAGGGACTTGATGGAGCTGTGAGGCTCCTATGAGATGAGTCTGCGATGCTCAACACAGTGCCGGACACGTAGCGATGCTCAGCCCGAGCTTGGGGACCGCCTGGGCCCTCACCCCGGTCTGCCATGTGGCCCGCTCCAGGTGCCGCCATGCTGCCATCGCCAAGTACTTTGGGGATGCACCCCCCGCCTGCACCAGAGGCTGTGACCACTGCCAGAACCCCGCGGCCGTGCGGAAGCAGCTGGACACCTTGGAGCGCAGCAGCAGCTGGAGCAGGACCTGCATCGGGCCCTCCCAGGACAAGGGCTTTGACCCTGAGCTGTATGAGGGCGGCCGCAGGGGCTACGGGGGCTTCAGCAGGTGAGGGGCCCCCACCCCCTGGAAACGGTCTGGCATTCTCTCCCTGGTGCCATGGCCAGACCGTCCTGCACCAGGGGCCATGCTGGGGCTGCCAGGGCCTCGGGCATCGCTGCCCCTCCCGAGGGGGGAGGTAGGGCAAAGGCCAGGGCTGCTGATGCCCAGCCTGTCCCCTAGGTATGACGAAGGTTCTGGAGGCAGCGGGGACGAGGGCAGAGATGAGGCCCACAAGCGGGAATGGAACCTCTTCTACCAGAAGCAGATGAGTCTGCGCAAGGTGAAGGGGGTGGAGCCTCTGTGGGGTCCCCTCAGCACCCCCTTCGCCGGTGCTGACCTGGGTGCTATCCTGCAGCGGGCGGGATGCCTCACAAGCCTTTCCTGTCATCTTCCAGGGCAAAGACCCCAAGACAGAAGAATTTGTACCCCCAGGTCAGTATGGGGGCTATGGGCTGTTTCCAGGGTGTGGATGGAGGATGCCTCCTTGGGGGGTTGGGGACTCCAGAGAGTAGAAGGCAGAGTGGAGAGCCTCCCCCCTCCCCCCAGATGAGGACTGTCCCCTGAAAGAGGCTTCTAGCAGGAAGATCCCCAGGCTCACTGTGAAGGTAAGAGGTAGCGGCTCCTCACACCTGCCCCCCAGCCTCAGGTTTGTGTGACCGACTTCTCCCCGCTCCCTCTGCAGGCCCGTGAGCACTGCCTGGGGCTGCTGGAGGAGGCTCTGAGCAGTAACTGCCAGGCTGCAGGTGCCAGTCATGGGTGAGCGTCCCAGGTCACCGGGGCGGGGAGGGTTCTCCACGTCCTGTTCCTTTGTAAACGGCTCTAACTCTGGGTCCCCAGCCTGTTTGGGAGCTGCCTCCCCAATTGTGGCCCATCCTACTCCCAGGGGTCGCAGCTCCCTACAGCCCCACCACCGGGAAGGCTCGGTCACCCTGAGGGGCTGCAGGTTGCCCAGGGTGTCCAGGTTGGCATCCCTGCCTCAAGGCCATTCCCACCAGGCCCAGAGCCATGTCCAGCGTCCCCCAAGAGAACCCACCCGGAGCGCAGCAGGCAGAGGGCTCAGGCCTCCTGACACCTCCACTCCCTCCCTCAGACCTGACCTGCAGGCCAAGGCTGTGGAGCTAGAACATGAGATGTTCCGAAATGCCAAGGCTGCCAACCTCTACAAGGCCAGCGTGCTGAAGAAGGTGGGCGGGGCGGGGATGGGCGGTGCTTGCTCAGGGTCAGGGTGGGAGAGGCGGCCCCTCCACACTCCCAGGCTGGCTGCCACCTCTGGCCCAGGCAGCCCCGAATCCACGCCTTACCAAGCAGCCATTCATTTGGAGGGAGCCCACTCCCCCGCTTTGCCAGCTGGAGCCATGTCTAGCCAAGCCCCTGAGGACTGGACCTTGTCTGGTGTCCAATTGCCTACGG